TGTGTGTTTCAATCCTTTTTTCCTAATCCTATTTTTTCCTGGAGATGAGTCTTCTTTTACTTCTGAGGATAATTAACAAGGCCTTGTTTTTCTCCCCCTACATGGATTGTTTAAATGGTGAAATATAACGCTCAACCAGAAAAGTATCCAGGATACAGATTATTGCCACTTAACAGTCTTGTAAAAATAGTTCCACGGGTCGCAGTTTCACATGAAATTACAATCCATTTTCAATTATTTGCTGTTAATTCATAATATTTTATTTCTTTAACCAGACTAAAAACTACTTGAGGTTAGGTATCATTTCATAAGTGATTTTTCATCGTCTCCATTAGTGAACCAACATCATCTTAGAATAATTCCAGGCTAGGGCCCCATAGCCCATAGATTGTGATTTATTAGTCTGAGGTCAGGTGTGTGTTTTAAATAAGTTCATCAATTGATTCTGAGCTTGTATTTACACAGATTACACTTGGACAATCGTTACTTTCTACTCTCACAAGACTGAATTACCTTCCTAGCAGTCATTCAATAGCCACCTAAAATTATTTTATTATAATAAATAATGTTCTAATGAACATCATATTCATTAATAGTTTCTTCCATTAACTCCTCTAAAATAGTTGGATTTATTTACTTATTGAAACTTCATAATTCAGCTAATTTAAATATTCAGGCAATCCTGATTTATTTTCACAGTTCGGCTGGTATTGTTGAACCATATGACTATTTCTCTTATTTTTCTCTTGGGATTTTTGCAGTTAAAAAGCACAAACATGCTCAACGATGATATTATCTGTGATACTCCAGGAAAAAAAAAAACAGAAAATAATTAGTAAATAAGGGAGAATAAAATGGAGAATAGAAACTTTGGGAGATTAAAAAAATTTTTTTTCCTCTTTTGTCCACATTCTATAATATGCTTATATGTTGCACTAATAGAAATTCAATCAACTTTCAAGCTCCATCAGAGCATTTATTGAAAACTTGTTTGACCTTGCGAGTGGTAAGCCTAGGTCGGGAGAGGGATGAGGGTCACACCATAACCTCCAGCTAAGAATGTGCAGAGGACACGTGTTTTCCCCGGTGGGCAGGTGTTCTAAACCGGTTCCCTCGGAAGTCATCTTGTTTCTTATCTTACCAAAATATCCCCATATGCTTATACTTTTTGTAAGCGCTCATTAAATGATACATCACTTTTCTGGAGAAGCGTACAGTGAAGAGAGGCTTTTCACACTCAGCTTCGAATTCCCTTAATAGAATGTTAGCGCTGAAAAAGTTTGTAAACCATCTCAAATCTAACATCTTAAAAAGTCCTCCCAAAATGGCTGATTGTAACCCATCTTTGAAACCCGTCTACCCCCACTTGCTCATCCTTTTTCTTTCCAACAAGGTTTATTTGCAATTCTCTAAAAGGCACCGCTAGCCTAAGGTTTGCATGGGTCACGTGATCAACAGCCTTTTATGATGATAATGTTAGAATACAGGGTTGATACACCCTTTGTAGGTAAACAATGACATAATTTTTTTCTTTTGTTGAATGTATTCCTTGCCTTTCGGTGTGCATAATTTGATCAAAAGTTTACTAATTTTCCAATCAGGAAGTTAATGATGTTCATTAAATATTCAGTCAAAACGGGCCTTGAGAAAGAGAACCCCAGTGTTTTTAGGATACGAGGTTCCCATGACAGATTTCGAGGTAGTATCTCTGCAGTGCTTCCTGTCACGTGGTGAAAAACTCCTGAATTCTCTTAACCCCAGTGTGTTTAACCACACACAAAACTAAGTTGTTTAAGCTCAAGTATAGTTTTGTTCCATGCTTATAGCGTTGTCTATACATCTGCTGGACCAGGCCAAAATAAATCGTTGCAGATTTGTGTTGATTGAATGATTTAAGATAAATAAACAAGCTCAACTGCCTACTGCGGCCAGAGAAACAAACAGCAGGGAGCGTGGCCCATGGGAGCTCCTGCTCCCGCCCAAGCTCTCTGAGGGAAGAGGCATTGGCCGCTTCCAGTCTGCTGTGCGACGTTTGGAAAACGGGATCGCGTGTTCTGAGAGCTTCTGATTTTCCAAAGGATGCCATAAATCCAGGCTTTTAATGCAGTCGCTCGATTTTAAACGTTCTTAACCAATCCAAATATTCATAAGACATTTTGCAGACCAAACCTGGGTGCCAAACCAACACTCCTAGGAAGCCTCGCAGCTCTACGCAGCCAATTCGGAACCTCCGCATCAGCGCGGATAATACAAAAACACATTTTTCTCAGAAACAAGTGAGCACAGGGAAGGTTGCGGTGGGCAACAGCTCTTGCTCCTGGGTTCCGATTGTGGCACCCCTCTCTGCCTATGTGAGCTTGGGCAGTTCACCTTATCCCTTTAAACCTCCATTTGGCACCTGTAAATTGGGAAACACTACTATGACAGGGGAAAATGACTGCTTAAGCCCTTAGCATGAAGCGGCCTTCAATACCTGTTAACTAGTCCTAATTCCTCCTTTTTATAATAATGGAATTAGTTAAGGGCCAGCCATATATCTTGCAAATAACTTCATGTTCCCAGATAGCTCATTCCTCTCTACACAAAAGCATTTGAAACATTTCTGTATGATGACCTTTCTTTTTAATGTTAGTTAACTAAGCATCCAATATCGACCTAACCAGAGGGAATACGCTCTACTTTTTCAATCAGTCCCGTCTCCGGGGCCGAGAACTAGCCCTTCCATCTCCCAACTTTTATCTACTCACATGGCCTCTGGCATCATCCCAACTGTTTCACTTTCCTGAAACTATCCACGTTCTCGGAGTTTGAAAACCTGCCTTTTCTGAATTCTTCCCGGGGTTTGTTGATAGACGTCTCTAATTGCCCATTTATGATAAGGACGGAGCTCCCGGCCTCCCCACCCCCAACTTTCCTGCTAGGAAAGCCTTTCTGCTCTCCGGCTCCTGGACCCCGCCACGGCTGCAGCTGATGTACGGCTGAGCTTGCAGGTTCTCAGTCCCCCAGCCCAGTTTGTTACGGAAGTAATTTGGGGGCTGGGCAGGCCCTGCGCCCCCTGCCGCGGGTCGGCGCCGCGGCTGGTCGGGAACGTGTCGGGGCAGGTCGCGCGGAGTGGCGCGGGGTTCCCCCATCCGCCAGGGCCCGGGCGCCCGCTCCCCCCGCGGTGGCGGCCCGCAGGGGCGGGGAGAGGGGCGGGCCGGCGTCTGGTTTCGCTACGTCACGGGGAAGTCCCCATAAGGTGAGAGCGCGGGCTCTTTCCTTTCCCCAGAACCCAGAGGTTCTCGGGCGCGCTCTGAGTTCGGTGTCCATCCCGGTCCCTCCGGCCTAGCCCGTCCGCCCCGCGCGCAGCTCGCATCCTGCAGACCCAAGGTTTGCAACCCAAAGTTGGGGACTGAGCTCCCCGGAGGTCTGCAGCACAGTTCCCGCCGGCTGCTTGCGGAGATGCCTGGGAAGAAAGCGCGTAAGAACGCGCAGCCGAGCCCTCCGCGGGCCCCGGCAGGTAGGGACCAGAACGGATCCGCGGGGATCCTGGCCCGGGCGGGGGCCGGGCCGGGGCCGGGGCCGGGGCCCGGGTCGACGTCTCGGTGGGGACGGGGTTAGTCTGTCTTCTCGGGGACTCGAGGTCCGGCCACGTCTGCGCCCTTTCACGTGCTTTAGGGGCGCCTCCTGGAAGTCTTCAGGGCTTTGACCTGGGACCATGGAGACGGCGAGGGAGGGAGCCGGGTTTGGGATTGCGATGCAGCTGCATTTTAGCGGATGTCCAAAGCCTCTTCTTCCTACGCTCGCCTTTCATGCCCACCTGCCCTGCCCCGCGGCCGTGGGGAGAGAAAAAAGTGCAAGTTCGGGCGTCAGCCACGAGGAAGAAAGTCGTCGTCACGGCACGGAGGGACGGGAGACGCTCCGGGAGCGGCCTGGCCTCCCCGCGCTTCCCAAGCCAGGCCTCTTCTTCTCGGGTCTGGACCTCTGAGGGCCCCGCTCCGGGCGTTATCACTCTCCACCCCGACTCGAACAAAAGCAGTGATAACGCTTGATACGTTCACAGCTTTTCCACAAAGGATCGACGGAGGGCGGCGGAGACCCCGCAGGGACCATCGCGTTCGGGACCCCCGGGAGTCTGGCTTCTTTGTTAAGAGCATATATAACATTTTAATAGTCGGTATTAGCTGCGGAGAGGAGATAGGGGACAGGAGTTGGTCCCCAATTTTTAAAAGCCATCCATTCCTCCCTTTCCCAAAGCCTCATCTAATAACCCTTAGGATCAGTCTCCCCACCTATAAATTTAATCAAACAAGGCAGCCGTCTGCTAAGGGGCGGTAGCAAAGAAGGCAGAAAGGCTGTGGGCTCAAAAATGCCTGCGGGACATAGGCTATTACACCAGCCAGTTACAGGCCCGTCTTTTAATCTACTTTCATTTTATAGAGCCCATGGCGCATGCAAAGGAAGTGGTGTGTCGGCATGTGACCGTGGCTACGTTAGCACCAGACTGCTCTCGCTGGCTCTTTGTCCATTTTTGTTATATCCAATACTTTCTGACCATGTTTTGGAAAAGTCTAAACCTGTGTGTAACCTTCACCCATCCAACTTAGTTCCCAATAACAAGGGATAACAGAAAGGTCCCTCTTAAACTTGTTTAGCTAGCAATACTTCTTAAAAAGTCGGATATAAGTGACATTGTTTTAGTTTCAGGGGTACAATATAATGCTATATGAATATATTGTGAATACCACAATAAGTTTAGTTAACACCCATGACCACAAATGGTTACATTTTTTTTTAATCAATACATTTATATATGTGTAACTAAATTAAGGAAGCAAGTAGGAGCTATTTTCTGCCCCCCTCTTTTTTTTTTTTGCAAAATGAGTCATTTTTCCTCTTATAATTCAGGGCTTCCAAAGTTGTATGCAGAATAATTTTTCTTTTAGGATGGTATGTTAATATACCCATTCACTGAAAAGAACGCCCCTTTGTAAATACCTCTCAAAATGTTTGATTCGTTCCTATAAAAAATAGCATCTTATGGTATTTATTAGGTATCTTGTTAGGGAGAGATTATGAAAATTTCACCCAACTCTTGTAGAGAGCAAAATTGATTGAAATGTAGATTTAAAAATTCTCTTTATTGTACATTTCCAGTTTTTATTTATTTTGAGCCTAAATAGGGTCTTCCTAGGGCCTGTTTACAAAATAAACCAGATTTCGATTTGTAATTATAATTTTTTAATGTTCATAATCATGATCTCGAAGTGGGCCAAAGGACCAAGTTGCTCTTTGAAATAAATATCCAGAAAATCTGAAATTATGGTCAGTATAGATTTGGTGTTAATTTTACTTACTTAAGAAATTTACTTGAAAATTAGACGATAAGCATTTTTCTTAAATTAATATTTAGTTCATTACAATATTATAAAAAGGAGTAAACATGTGAATTAAACATTACTTATTTTCCGCTTCACTCATTTCCATCATGGCAATGGATTGGTAGAGGTTGGGTTTTGTAGGAGAATTTGGCCTAGAGAAAAATTTAAACTTATAAATTGTTTTCAACAATGTGGAGTTAATTTTGGAGTATGATTTTATGAGAGACTTTTATGGGAAAATTTCCAAGTTTTTTAAATGAGAAAAAGTACATTTAGATTTGCCTATTAATGAAGGCATATTCTGGGCTATAAATTATTGCCATTTAAAAAATAAGTCTTATTTGAAAACAACACAAGAATTTAGAATTTGACTTCCCTTTTCCCAACCGACTTTAAGTGAGAAAAAAGGATGATGTCACCTGACTCTGGCGAAGTCTCACTTACTCTGTGGTATTTCACATATTAAATGTTTGTATTTGAAAGTAAGGTAATATTTACCTCATCCAGGATGCTTTAAAAAATATTTCAAAGTAAATGTCTTTATTTCTTTAACTATTTTTTTGTTTATGAGTCACAATGTGTTCGTATGTGTTACGTATGTGTGTGTGTGTGTGTGTGTGTGTGTGTGTGTGTAAAGGTATATGTAAAGCTAACATTAAGAGAAATGAAATGCTTCACGGGATAAATACTCAACTTGTCACTCTTGCTGGTTACATTGTTGAATGTTGTCGATAGAATTTTGATGTTTTGCTTTACTTTTCAGAGCTTGAAGTTGAGTGTGCCATTCAATTCAGGAGAATTGGAGACAAGCTGAATTTACGGCAGAAACTTCTGAATCTGATATCCAAACTCTTCCACTCGGGAACCTGACTGTTTCAGAAGCCTTCTAATGAGGAGACTCCTTTAAAATGAGATTATCCAGTAGATGCATATTTCATCAGTTAGAAGAGAGACTGCCTTATGATGGAGAAGAATGTGAAGGATCTCTCACTTGCTTTTGGATGCCCTTGGAAGTGAAGATGGAATGCATCGCAATGAATTTCTGTTGGAGGTTTTCCAGAAGTCATTCTCTGGGATGTGAGAACATTATAAAAGTACTTTGTTTATTTTAAAGCAAAAATCAAAGAGCTTTGAAAATGCGGAATGAATTATTTATACATTTTGTTTCTGCTTAGAGAATTCTAGTATTTTTTTTGCTGAAGGTTGCTGCCCAGTGTAAGAAGAATTAACAAATGATTAGAATGTGGGAGGGGGCCAGGAAACAGAATATGGTCAGTGTTTATTTCTACTTTGGGATGACAATTCCAAAATGTTGTATAATATTTGGTTTATATTATTATCTTGTTAAAAGTAAAAACCATCTGAGAACACTGAATGTCATAGTGAATGTATATTTCATAGGTCACTACAAAGTATAAAATAATTTGATAATTTGTTTCTTTTGACTTTAAAATGTGTTACTTCTGTTTAGATAGCCTTTTTCACTAAATGTGTCCCTGAGGCATACTTAACCGGGAAGTATGTTCTTTGAAAAAATTTGATAGACATATAAGAGTGTCACTTGGTGCCAGTAAAATTCTTGGGGGTTGAATATTAAAAGGTAAAGAGAGAGGGGATTTTTCAAAACCAGGAATAATAAAAATGAATTCAACTTTTTACTGCTGTAATTAAAACATAGTAAAACAAATATTCTAAAGTAACTTTAAGAAAATGAATGTGTTTCCAAAGAAGTTTCTAAAATCTAAATGCCTTTTCTCATGCTAGTCTATGTGTATCCTGTAAAAGTGATATTTTAAGAGAAATTAAGCATGTTTTCATAATTGGAGTAACTTAAAAAAAAAAAAGAGGAACAGATTGCTCATCTGGAATGAAAATCTCATTTATATACAAAAATATAAAATTTGCATTAGAGTAATAACGTAGATTCTGAGAAAGGTTTTGTGCATTTTTTTTAAAAGGCCAGGCTATCAAAAAAGTCCCTCAAAATATATTTAAAAAGTCATTAAATTTCAATGAGAATAATCTTATTTATTTTACCTATTTATAATTAAAATATTTTTTGTTTGGTTAAAAAATGTATATTAGTTACAGTTACAGTTAGATTATGAGACAAAGGGTTTATAACTACTTGAACTCTTACAGTAAGAATGTTTTAATATAGACTTTAGTCACTTTAGATAAAAAAATTACCTCAGCATCTTTTTTTCTTCAGTATTAAGACTGTTAGTTTATTTAGTTGCAAAGATTTTGTTCATGTGTATGCCTAAAGGCCAATGTTTCACCATGTGGATATTTATGGTCTATAACTGTATTTATACGTGTATATATACATATAAAATGATACTGTAGTTGTAAGCTATTAAAAATTATCACCATTATTTTCTGTGTTTGTTTTTTCATCTTGTAAGCTACTGAGTGTTCATTATGAAACCAAAATATTATAGTTTAACTGATTTTCCTCAGCAGGTACATTTTGACTAAACCATCACCTCCATTCCAGTTCTGTGGAAGGAGTAGAGAATACAGGGGCGTATGACATGATTTCTGCTGTCCAGGGACTTACACTTTAGTTAGGAGAGGAAATGGTGAAAATAGGAAGTTAATGCCAGCCGTAGGTCTTGAGTGTGCTCAGTGCCTTATGTTAATGCCTGGAGGGTGATTTATTTAAGGGAGGCCGCTGAGACTCATGATCTAATTAGAGGCATGGTGAGCCTTGGATGAAGGCAAGAGGAACATCTGGACAGCTTACTTTTAGGCGATCTCGAGCTTTTCCTTTCCTCTGCCCCCACCCTGGCTGCCAAGTGTTGCTTCATCAGAAGCTAGTCATGGGCAGAAGTAGGTGTAACTCTGGCCTTCCTGTTTGAGTGTGAGAACTAAAAAGATACCTCCAGTTTGTAGCTTTGATCTAGGAACCACATCTTCCAGCCCTGCCCTCAGAACGTCTGCCGATATTATGAAAAGTAAATTGCCTCCCTTAGGTGGGGTGGGAGCGAGGAAGAGCTACAGGAAGAAGGTGACGAGGAGACATCACAGCTAGAGAACGGGGTAGGGGGAGTGTGTGGGGGGTGAAGGGCGATGGAGAAAGCGATGCAAATCAGAGGAAGGACTTTGTATTGTAGAAGTAGGAGGGGACATAAAGGTGGGATCGAGCTGCATGATTTGATTCGAAGGTCACTGGAAGAGTAATTCCTGCCCCTCAGCCTCTTTGCATAGCCAGAATCGAGCCCTTGGTGTTAATTATTTTTGCTAAAAGTTCCCTTGAGATATAGATTGTGGAATAACACAAGAAGGCTTAGGGACAATTCACAGGTTTCAGGTATGAGATAACCATATCCTAATGTCAAATAATTTCCAAGATGTCCACGCCAATTGTATCTGATGGCCGACAAAAAGCCTCTAGGAATTAAAAAATACTTCGACTTGCATGTGTATTTAAAAGAAAACCTCAACAATTTGTATTTGAAAATTGTCTGCCTCCCTATCTATCTATGAATAAGCTGTTCTTCAATCTAAAGACCGTGTACGCTGTGCTTTGGGGTTTTTAACCCCCTTGCATAAATCACGCATGCGCGCGCGCGCGCGCGCGCGCACACACGTGTGTGTGTGTGTGTGTGTGTGTGTGTGCGCGCGCGCGCGCGTGTGTGTTTTCTTCCATCGTGGATAAAACCACGCATGCGCGCGCGCGCACACACACACACACACACACACACACACACACACACATACACACAACTGGGCAGAACAGCACAACCTGAAAATCCTGTTGAACTCCTTAAACCTCTGTCAGAGGGAATGATCCACCAGGAAAATAGCTGACACCTTGAAGAGAGATGAGGTGCAAAGAGCGGCCCACTTTGGGGGCCTGAAGCTGGACTGCCAAGGTGAAACCGTGAGCGGGCTCGTGACCCTGAACAAGGCAGCCAGTCGGAACCAGCCCTTTCTCTGAACTCCAGAGAACCAGATCATCTTTAAAGTCACTTGTGATTTGAAAGAGAAAATAAATGGCCAAGGGGTCTGAAGGAGCTGTCCCGCCACACTCCCTGTCCTACCAGCCCTGCCCCTGGCCTTCTCTCGTAGGGGATAAGACAGAACTGAAGGGTTTGCAGCAAGTAGGGGACTGGATGTAAAAAGTACCACTCTCCGCTCCCCCGCACCCCCTCCCAAAAGTCTATTTTCCAAGTTCTCCCAAACATCAATTCTAAGTCCTGAGCAGACTGAGTGGGAACTTCTTAGACTCGTAAGTATTTTCTTGGAAATGAGAATTCCCCAGGCATTGTGGCTTCTCCATGGTGTGGCACTCTGTCAGAGCAGATCTTTTACCCCTGGTAGCTGAGAATAGAAATGGGGTCACCTGACGGAACACACTTATTTTATACTTATACTTATTTTACACCATCTTGAGACTCAAATGAGGTGAGATTGTGCATGGCGTCTGACTCACAGTTACGCTCGGTAAATATCAATTAAGGTTCCCTTCAAGACCCAGGGTTAGATATTAGCTTCCTTACAGAGCTATGGAAGGCCTTGCCCAATTAGGATTATTCGACAAAAATGAAACCGTTTGAAAGAAGGTAGCCTGGCAGCGCTGGAGCTGGAGAGGAAGTGGCAGTTTTCCCTTTGATGAGGCCATCTGTTTTTAATTTGTAACCTCTTAGTTATGGTAAAACACGTATTTTTCACCCCATACATGATCGATTCCATAAATTCTATTGAATTGCCTGAAGCCCCTTGCGCATATTCATATACAAATTTAGGTCTTGTTTTATGTAATATCGCCTCAGGAAATAGGAAGAAGATCTCGTCTGGTTGTTTTGGGCTTGACGGGTTGGCTAAGGCTGTTTGGGCCGGGAGCCCTGAAAGGCTGCGGAGGGGGAAACGCCCTCTTGAGATGAAACTGTGAAATTTGTTAATTTGGACAATTGAGGTCAGATCCTGGCGGTTTTGTCTTTGGCTTTAAGCAAATCGAGTTTCATCACCTACGGGCTTTCTATCGGACCACTCTGAGCAAATCAAACTTCCACAAGATAAATACAATTCGCTGATCCCCCACGATGCACCAGGCACTTTAGAAACATAACGTTATCATGTCATCTAGTGGTCACAACACTCCTATTTGGAAAATATAACTATCTTTCTCACTCGATAGTAGAGGAAACCGCCTCGGATAATCAGCAATTTCACCCAAGTCAATTGGCAAGCGAGTGGAAGACACAGGATTTGAACTTGCACTGTCTTGGCTCGCCACCACAATTCAAGTGCCCCCCACATGGGGTTGGGGAAGGGCCCCCGCATTCCAGAGCAAAGCTGGTTGTTTTCCAGCCCAGAGCCCCATAAAATACAGCCAAGTTTTATCCCCCTGGGTTTTCTGAGACTGGAAGGTGGATTATTAAACCACCTGATCTGTGAAAAATACTAAGTACAGCTCCAGCTCGAATTCCTCTTGGATTCCTTCAGCGATGAAAGTGCAGCCTCTGGAAAGTGTCTCACGTTATTCCCAGAGCAAGCCGGTTGGGAAGGTGATGATGGTGCATCTCATCCCCGGAAGGGATTTTGTGATGGACGAGGACAGAATGAATTCTGAAAGATGCACTCCCCACTGGCTAGCTTTTTACGAGCTAACGCCAAAACAGCACCTACTGAGAAAGACCTGCAGGAGCCATTTGTAATGGGAAAGAAAAGGATTCAAAGGAGACTGTCAAAACAGCAATTTGTGTGTTTTGTCGGCTGCGCTGTATCCGCCCCATTTCAGCAAAGCCAAGCAGAGGTTAGGAAGGAAGAAGAAATTGTTGCCACCAGTTTTTTTTTTTTTTTTTAACCAAACAATAGAGAACATCTAAATTCGCAGTCTGCATTCTTGATGATTCATTTGCACAAGTGTTGGAGGAGGGGCAGGGGGTGAGTGGTTGTGTTGATTCTGAAAGCCTCTGGTTTTACAGAGGTTATTTTTAGTAAGAGATTCCCAGATCCTCCGTCTTCAGGAAACATACGCATTTATTAGTCCATCAGAAAGCAGAAGGAAAAAACTTCCCTGTTGGTCACTGTAAACACCCTCCCCTCCTGCACACACGCCAACATACAGTATCTGCAACTAGAGTGAGAGAAACGCTTCTTTCCTCCTTCTGAAATTTTTACTGGTGTGACATAAAAAAAAAAAAAAAATTTCTGAGAATCAGCAAATCAAGACTAAAACTTTTAGTTAATTTTTAAAACGTAGTGGTAGAAGAACATAAATAAGTCAGACTAATACTACACAGCTGACTCCTTAGGATTCTGGGAAAGTCCCAGCCTGGGTGATAAATCTAGGCGTCTCTTCCAGACTCTAACATAAAGCAAGAAGG